CCCCCCCCCCCACCCCTTTGATTCATCACCCTTTCAGATAGTGGTCCTCCTGCCATCCATACTTTTTGTGGAGAATCGGAGAGCTAGCTTAATTTCTTTATTTTTTAAAATGTATGGTAGAACAAACTATTCCATTCTCTCATGGAGAGGCTAAGTCACTTTTTCATCTAGATGACAACTTTAACAGCTTCTATATATTTACTCTATAAATATGTTAATTTCCATCGTACAGGGTAAGAAGTATGGCATTTTCCTTTTTGCTATTGCAGATGAACAGCTTTAATGAAACAGATGTATACGACACTAGGATGGTAAGTCTGCTGCCACATAAAAGAACTAAAGAGATCTGAGACCTTGCAATGGTTACTAGAATGCCATCTGTTTACCTGACCCACTGCTTCGCCTATGCAGTTAGCAAAAATAACTTCCTTTTCTGAGAGTGCAAGAGAACTGGGACACATGGTTCTTTCCCTCTTTCCAGTGGGTATATCATCTCAGGCTTAGGAACTAGAAACTCTGTTTGTTAGAAAAGAACCTGTTCATTGCTGACAAAATACCTGATGGGTGCATGTCACAAGAACCGTTCCATAATTTTTATGACAAGTTCACAACTTTGTACTCGTGGCAGTGGTATGTTCTGAATGCAGAGGGAATGCTGAGTTCTACTGGAGGGATACGTAGCTGGTGGGAGATGAGCTATAATCTCTGGGGAAGAACTATACATGGGAGAATAAAACAACTGAGATTTTGAAAACTGAACCACTTGGTCTTTTTTAAACCTGCAGGGGCACTACTATTTTGTTTTCAAGGATGAAAGCCTGGTGGCCCCTCCCACCAAGGATGGGGGGAGTACACTGATCAAAGCACTAATTTCCTTTTAACTTGAAAACTTCTATGTTGGGCTTATGAAGTTCTCAGAGTACCTGGGTCCATTGATGGTTTTACTCCGAAAACTACCAAAGGTCACATTGTTCATGTGGTTTAATACAACACCAGGTGAAACTTGGTACTTTCCATTTAACTTCCACGTTGAGATTTTAGACTTGTTGAAATATGCCTTGAGGGAATAATAGAAACTGAAGTGGAGGAAATTGTTTATATATAGTAAAATGCCAATGCGCATAACACTTCTGCTAGTTGCTGCACACTTCTCCGCTATCACATGTGCCATCTGAGAGGAGTCTTGCATGAGTACAGCATAAGAATTCAGTCCACAGCCCTAGGAGGGCTCGTCACACTGCTTCCCACCTCCCTGCTCTATGAGTGCATAGTAGGACTGTCACTGGGCCTGGAGGAGAACAAGTCACCTCAGGGTCATTTAGGCCTTTGTATATATTTTTGACTTGGGTGTCTCATCTTTCTTCCTTTTGCCTGTTTCTTCTACTTGTTTCCTCATCTTCTTACCTCCATCATCCTGTGGAACAGCCATTTACTCTGTTCCATCCTAAAATGTGTTGTCAGGATCACAGATATATGCATATCTTTCCCCAGAGAGCTTGGTTCTGGAAAGCAGAAGGCATGCTGTAAATCTAAGGGGGCCAAAGAAGGACTTTCTACCAAAGTGCTTCAGCATTGCACAGTTTCCAAACAAAGTATTACCAGGGGAAGTCAATCTCATAATTTTCTTGCATGATGTCATTGTAGATTTCCTTCTGCCTTTCAGCCAGAAGGACCCACTGTGCCTTACAGAAATACAAAGCCACCATGTCAAATTTCATCAGCACCTGAAACAATACACATTCCATTCTCAGTGCCTGTACTACCAGAGACAGTCCTACCATGCACTCATAGAGCAGGGAGGTGTGAAGCAGTGACAAGCCCTTCTAGGGCTGTGGACAGGATTCTTATGCTGTACTCATGCAAGGCTCCTCTCAGATGGCACATGTGATAGTGGAGAAGCATGCAGTAACTAGAAGAAGTGTTATGCACATTGGCATTTTACTATATATAAATAGTTTCCTCCACTTCAGTTTCTATTATTCCCTCAAGGCATATCTCAACAAGTCTAAAATCTCAACATGGAAGTTAAATGGAAAGTACCAAGTTTCACCTGGTGTTGTATTAAACCATTTGAACAATATGACCTTTGGTAGTTGCTGGTAGTTGCAGTTGAAATGTGAATGCTGGGGTTTGACTATGAGAGAAAAGGCAAATTTCAGTTAACAACAATTTTTTGTAGTGAATTAGCTTGTCAAGGGAGGTGGTGACAACCCCATCATTCAAAGCTAAACAGGGCAAAGGTCTAGAAAATATGTCCTAAAGTTAAAATTATGAAATCCATATTAAAGCACCTAAGCAAGCTCACGTCACCCAGACCACAGGATAGATGTGGCTGTATCACACAAGCCCATTCCCATTCATCGATTTAAAACTCACACCACTCAGTGATAGTCTACATGAATAAAGCACTTTAAAGTCCCAATATTTCAGAGTGCCTTCCTGGTTGCTAAGCCTCTCCATTTCCCTGTGAGCTAGGCAATTCTCATCTCCACTTTGCAAAGACATTAAATGACCTGCAGAACATCACACAGCACCATAGCTGGAAATAGAAACCCCATGTCCTTTCTTCCAGCCTTATGCCAACACCACCAGATGGTCTTACTATTTACCTTTTGTTCCCCATCATGTTGCATTTTTCCTTAACATAATTCCAGTAGAAAACAAAGATAGCAGTGACTGGAAATTCAGTGAGCAGCTTTCCCTATTCTTCTGTTTCCATCTCCAGAGGTAGCAAGTCAGGAAAGGCTGCTGATAGAGAAGGAAAGGAAAATTGTTGGACTCTTCTTGCTTTAGTCACTAAACAGAAAGGGAATCAGACAAGGATAGGCCCTAGCTTATGTATTTCAGCGCAGTGCATCCCAGAGGTTCTTCATCCCCGGCACCTGAAGGACTATGTGAAATGATGACATTTAAGCCCATCACAAGGTAACATTTCCCACATATGCAATCTGCACAGAACCATAGGGAAGGAATATTAGTTTTAGGAGGGAGCTATTTTAAAGGAATTCCAGGTAGGAGAAAGGGAATGAAAAGAACAGGGTGGAGCAGTTAACTTGGAGCTACTAAGCAGTAGCATTACAATGGAGGAAGGCATCGGTAATTTCAAGCATATGTAATCGCAGTGCAGCACAAAGTGCAGGAGAGACAAGAGTCCTGCTGTTCCAACATAACAGGCACAGAGAGGGACTTGCTATAGGGGGAGTGGGCTAGAGATATCTCTAGTTTAAATTTCAAATCTGCTGCTCAGTTTAGCAGCATCAGAGGTTAAAGAATTGCAAATGTACTCAAGGTTGGAACAAGATGGAAACTAGTGGTTGGGTCATCTTTTTTTTTCCATCCCTCCTCTTTTTCCAATCCTCACAGCTCCAGGCCTCAAGGCAAGGACTGTCTCATCTTCTTGTTACAGGAACAAAACATTTTTTATGTCCTATGGATTATATCAGGCTATTAAGCATAGGGAAATGAGGCAGCTCATTCTTTTCTGTGATTCTATGAAGGTGCTAATGGGCACATGTCTGAATGGACAGGGCAAGAACTAACAATCTTAAACTACAGCAGAGGAAAATTAGGTTGGCTGTTAGGAAAAATGTTCTAATTATGAGGGTGGTTAAACACTGAAGCTGATTACAAGCAGAGGTTGTAGAATCTCAATCCTTGGAAATGTTTAAAAGTTAAAATGTTTGGTTAATCTTGACTGGGATGGTTCAGACAGGGATTATCCTGCCTAGATAAGTTCCTGAGGTGCCTCTAGGCCCTGTTTTTCTATGATTCAGGTCAGTGTATACATCCAGGGACAGAAGCATGTTTAGGAGGGATCTGAATTAGAAGGGGAAGGTTGTCCTACAACAAAACACCACAAAAATTGGGACCTTATAGAGCTTGAAAGAAAGCATGTGACATTTAAACTTGAATTTGGGGGGAAGTAAGTCCATAGCTCTGGACAGGCAGATTCTTGTTTAATTTATGCTTGCACCTCATGAAACCTGAAAACATTTGTAAAGAAGTAACATTTCACCATTGTTACTATGATAGCTTTTTGCAGGCCGGATGAAGCCCACCTGTGACTTATTAGCCACTGCCCATCCATTTTAATGCAGCATAGCTGGCTCCTATAAGGTTACCTGGAAAACTTATTGGAAAGAGATGAATGAAAGCTAATGAGTTGTGGATAGGCTGAGGTTGAACAACACTGCAGTGAGATGGTGTTTATTGTCAAGGCCAGTTACAAACCTGTATGGCATGTAGGTGGGGCAAAAATATTCTGTTTGAGAACCTGAGGAAGCTGTAGTAGGGTAGAGATTGTTCTGTCTCAGTCTAGTCAAGAGAGTATCTGGAACAGGGGCCCTGGTTTGTGCCTTTGGGTGGGAAGCCTTTGGGCTTGGGGTCAGGAGGAGACAATCAAGAGTTGGTGATAGTATGAATTGGATGATATTAACTTAATGACTGCATTTGTTATTTGGCACAGACCATTATGAGTGCCTGGAAACACTTTAAGGGAAAGAAAAGGGGCAGAAGAGATTTGATCAATAATGGCAAGTATGAGAGGGAAGGGAAAACGGACCAAGGAGCTTACAAATGGAGTGACCTGACTGATGCAGACACAGGTGAGCTTATGCTATATTAGACTTCTGGCATGCTAACTTAATTGTGTACTTCAATCTGTTGAGAACAAGCATACCAGTGAGGACCCCTTACTCCAGCTGCAAGGGACAGGCAGGCCCTATGCCTTAGACTCTTCCTGCTAATGGCCTTTTTCAGTTAATGTCCATTCACAAAGCTGCATGTGTTCTCTTTTTCTGCTTTCAGGTAACTAGCACACTTCACTCATCCTGGCTCCCCTGGCCTGTAGGGACTGGTGTTGCTACCTGTCTTACTTCATCTGAACAGTCCTAGTTTTTCATATCAAGTCCCACGTCTTTGACTGAACCTTGAAAATACTCATTTGTTCCTATCTTCAGTTTCAGGGGGCATGGGGGGGTGTTAAGCAGAGCTGCCAACTCTGCTTCACGGAAGAACTGGTCTCTGTGTTGGTGTCCTCTTATTTTATTTTTAAAACTTTACAGTTCTGAAAGTCAGTTCCTTCACTTGAATTTCAGCATGTTTCTTGGAAGTAGGACTGATGTAGTGTGGTAGGATGTAGGCTTCTTTCTAACTGCATCTGGTCAAAGGAATGAGTATTTTAGGCCTCTGGCAGACATTTGCTTTAAAGATGTGATGACATCTAATCCTACGCTGTGTGTAGACTAAATGAGGTGTGTGTGTGTGCATGACACTTTAAAGCTGATTATGAGCAGAGGTTGTTGAACCTCTGTCCTTGGAAACATTTAAAAGATTGGCCAATCTTAACTGGGATGGTTCAGATGGGGGTTATCCTGCCTAGATAAGTTCCTGAGGTGTCTCTAGGCTCATTTACTGTGGCTTGCTCACAATGTTCTGAGACCTGGAATATGAAACAGGTCATCAGCTTGCCAGCTATAGTTCATTTAGCTGTTGCTCACTGGCTGGCTCTTTATCACATAAGGTGGTGTGTACATGCTGCTGGTTCAGTGGGATGAGCTGAAGTTACATTTTCAGCTTTGTAAAGGACAAATGCTAATGTTATGATGTACTGAAAAGTCATCAGCAAACTGTATGTGCAGTTTCTAATATGGACTCTGCAGGAATCTGCAAGACCTAAGCTGGGACAGCTGAACTCTGGTAATGCCCTTGGGGACTACCACCTGTCTGTCCTTTTTGTCTACTTTAATCAAGAATCTAACTGTCTCTAGCTGATAGCGAACTTGGGAAATTTAAATGACCCACCCAACCATTTGCTAGGGTGGTTTGTTGGCTTTGGACATTCTTCACTGATGTTTTAGCAGATGGAAAGAGCAATACTTAATAAAAGAAATATGCTGGTGGTTTTCTCTTTCAAGCTGTCAAATTAGTAGAGCAATGACTTTGAGCAAGTTAATCATCTATGGATATCAGAGACCACCTAAATGCTGAAATGAAATATGCCACTTCAAGTCTTCACTTTCTAATGGTGCAAAATTGCAGATGACCAAAACACAGAAGAGTTCTGGATGGGAATTTAAAATTTTAGGGATGTTACTGGTGAATTTATGCTTTAAAGGGCCAGCCCTATGTGCCTTTTCCCTCCTAGTCATGCCTCTCGTGTTCATGTGGAATGAATATTCTCTCAGATAACTACAGTTAAGCTGGTTTCAACCAAATGTTAGACTCTGAGCATTGGGACTGGCAGTTTTTGGCATGACTTAAAACATGAGACTGTGCTGCAAGGATTTTGTCCCAAGACAAGATGCATTTCACTGCAAACAAGTACCTCAGTAAGGCAGTAGAAACACTACAGGCAGAAGACTATGAGAAACAACTTATTTATAAGACTAAGGCTAAATACAGACATTCAAAAAGCCTGAGCCTGAATTAATTCAATCTATGCAGGTTAGTTTAACCTGCATAGATTGAATCGATTTGCAAGCGAATAGACATTCACTTTTGATTTCAGAAATGCAGGAATATGTCTGCAGTGGCTCAGGCTAGAAGCTGGTAGGGTGCTATATGTATTCAGGTCTGCTGGGGCCTGGCCTCAATTGGGTGGGGGGGTGTTAAGTTCCCACCCTGGCTTGCAGGGACCCCAGCCAGGGTGTGCCTGGAGGGGAAAGTAGCCATTTCTTCTGCCTAGCATTTCCCACCCCTGTCCTCACTGCTAGAGTGGTGGGGGCGCCTGGGGGAAGTGCCTGACAGGCTTCTCTGCCCTAACCAGGCAGACCCTGGCTGGGGTCCCAGGGGAGAAGGGAGGGAGTAGGGAATAAACCCTCTCCCTGCCCCCCTCACCTCAGGGGGCCATAACAGGCCTGTCCCTGGCCACAGCCCACCTCTGCCACTGCAGCAGTGGTGGGGCAGGCACTGACACAGGCTGGTCTGTCCTGGCCAGGCAGACCCTGGCTTGAGTTGGGCAGGGGGCAGAGGGGGGAATTTAAACCCCCTCCATCTCTGTTCACTTCATGTTGCTGCTGCGGCTGGCCATGCCCCAACCCCAGGTCAAGCAGTGAGTGAGGCAAAGTGCCTGACACGGGCTGCTGCGCCCCTGCCTGGCAGACCCCAGGTGGGGTCTGTGTTGGTGGGACAGGGGAGGGAGGGGGGGATGAATCTCTTTCCTGCTCCCTTTGCTTTAGCGGGTGGGGCTATGTCTGCCCATGCCCCGCCCCTGCTCTGGCTAGAGATCACAGGGGTGGGGCCAGCCCAGCTCCATTGGAGCAGATAGCACAGCTCGGCCCAGGGCTGAAGTGCATGCTGGGATGCTGGGGGGCTCTGATTTAACTGAAACCAGGAAGGGGTCAGGGATAGTTCCATAAACCATTTCAATTTCAATCAGTAGGTCTGATAGTACATTCACCCAGGTTTAACTCAAATTGGTTTAGGCCATTTTGAAATTGGTTTATGTGCACTGAACTTCTGTTCTGTTACAGGTTTAAACCAGTTTCTGATCACTTAAACTGGTTTATGTGTAACGTCTGTCCCTAGCCCATGTGTACAAATCTTATTCATTTGTACACGCCACAAAATTGGCCTTTAAAGCAGGTTAAATGCCCTTTTGCACTGCTTTAATGGTGTTGCTGTTTGCACGTTCGGTGGCCTATTGTGCGTTAAATGACTTTGGGACGTAGCTAAATAAAATGCATTTGAGGTGTTTTAGCTTGCTACCTTAGTAGCCATGGAGGAAAGCACTGGGCCCTGTGCAGCTCCGGGGCTGTGCAGGCAGCCTGGCAGCCAGCCTGTGCAAGCTTCACTGAAGGGGGGTGGGAAAGGGAGGAGCAGCAAGACTGATCCTTTTTTTTTTTCTCTCTCTGGAGCCTGCCTGTCTGTCAGAGCTGCATGGGGGCCCAGTGCTCCCCACCATGGTTGCGGTGTCCCCCAGGACTGCCTGGGCTGGGTTCCTGCAGGCAGGTGCCACCTGGGGGACACTGCTGCGGAGGGAAGCATCAGCCCCCCCTGCAGCTTGGGGACTCCTTGGCCTGCTGGCAAATGCCCCCTGCCGCTGGAGAGGTAGGTAAGGATCAGGCCCCAACCCCTGTGTACATGACACTGGGGCGTTACTTTGGTTTAAATTGAAACAGGGTTTTTAAAAACCCACTTCTTCAATTTAGGGAGAATGAAACTGAAGTATACCCCTGTGGCATGTACAAATGCCCTCAGAGTCTAGGAAGCCCGATTCCAGGTTCATGGTATAGAGCAGACACGTATGTCCCAGACTAGTGCTGATGTTGCAACAATGTCTTTTAAAGCAGGAGTTTCAAACACCCTGCTGCTGCAAACTGCCCCAGGCTGGATCCCTATCCTCAAGGAGCCCCATGGCCTGTATCTGGCCCAGGGCACAAGGTGAATTTGACACCCCTGACTTGAAGAACTACCTGGTTCCAACAGCCACAGCCCTGTCAGATTTGAATGAATTCCACTAAATACCTGTCAGCGACAATCTCAAACAGGACATGAGAAGTTGTTTGTTTAACAGTCCATGAATATTCAACACTATCCATAAGTACAGATATGTTTACCATGTTTTGTCAGTTGAGATGCCAAAAAAGGTGAAATGTTGGACTTCATGTATGTTGTTGTTTTTCTTAAAGGCATCAACCAGGGGTGTTACGAAAACACTGGAAAATGTTGACATGCCCTGAACAAATATGTCAGTATATTCTTCCACTACATGAAGTGTCTGCAATGCTGCAGAGGGGTGGAAGTAGGTGGGGAAAGCAATTCCAGATTCTCAGGCTTTGATCCTACTTGCTATCATTCATTGTCAAACACTTCCCAGACAAATATTTCAAGTGTTAAAATACTGTGAAGAAAGTCCTGCCAATTACCAATATAATTTGCTTGAGCAGGAAAAAATTAACTGGAAAAAATCCATTGAGGACATCGGACATAAAGCTGATATTGCCTTTTACAAACCTGGTGAAGACCGTACTGGGTGGTAGAACTCCCGGAGTCAGTCAATATGCTCCTTGAAGCAAAGTATCTTAACCAGTGATTGATAGAGCCGGTATATTTAACTGGTGTTATTCAGCACCTATGCCAAGGGTTCTCAGAGCTTTTATGCCATGGTCTGGCAAACCACAGCCTGGAAGTGGCTGCGGCCCAGCAAACCGTGGCCCAGGCGTCACAGCCAACCACACCTGGAATTTCCGGCTGGCAGATGGGTAAGGATACCCCATCCCCTTGGCGGAGGGTGGGCTAAACCCTGTGCTACCTCAGGCCCTGCACAAGAAGCCCGCAGCCTCTTCGCCTGGCCCTGGGGGGGCTGTGGTTTGCCAGTCTGTGGACGCTTCTGTTCTGGCAGCCGACCTGCCATGGCCTGGCACTGGGCTGCAGCCCAGGGTTGAGAAGCCCTGACCTATGCTATCTAAACTGGGTGATTTTTAGGAGCACTGCAAGATAGTTTCTGACTTTTTATTTCGGCAATCTTGAGTCTTTGGAACAAGTAGGAGCTCTTCCAAAGGGAGGCACTGTCAACCAAGGCTACCTAATTCCTTAGAAATGAGGAGCTATTTGAAAAGAGGTAGTTTAGGACTCTACAAATGCATTCTTGCACTTTGAAAAA